TATATTCGTATACAAACTAAATTCCACGGTACAAGCATTTTAAATAAGTAAGAAAAACTTATATAGATAGCTTAACAGCTTGGACTTGTTGAATTTAAAACTTAAATCAACTGTTGGGTTTCAAACGAGTCTTTTACCATTTTTACCGGCATTTGTTTTGTGCGTAAAGATTCGCAAAATAATTTGATAGACAGCAATCCAAATATAGCTTGATAAAGGCCTGTAGCAACGTTTTTCCATGTGGGGGAGAGGGAGAAACATAAAATAAAATTCTGCGTACTACAGATCTGTGCTACACAAGTACCACCTATTTTTCTAATGATAGAATTTTAGTACAGGTGTCCAGTCCCAGTCGTTATGGGTTACAAGTGTATCGAAATTGCCCGATTTTTTTAAATGACAAACCTATAGGCCATACAATCGGGGATAAAAATTTTACAATTTTGCTATGAAAGTACAATCACTCGAAGTTGACAGATAAAGGTAGAAAATGTTAAAGAATGGTTAACCTGTGCCACCTTTCAGAGTAACCAATGAATTCGTCTATGGATGCATTAACGGTCGTTTTAACAAGAATAGATATGGGTTACCCCATATCCAAAATATTCGACTTTTAATTTACTCCAATTTTCACAAGAAAAAAATGCACATGATTGTTCAAACCAAATTTTTACTTATATAACAACTGTACAGAAATAAGATACCCTGTTCAGATGAGAAAATTGAAAATGCACCAAAAATTGATTGCTTTGAATGGCGTAAAATGTTGGAGTTTCCTCATTTAACTTCACAACTGGAATTTGTGGAGCCTAGCACCGAGAGGTTACATATATGTAGGTGATTGATTCTGAGTACATATAAATACCAAATTTTAGAATCAGCTCTGAAGCATGTTGGCAGTTTATTGTCACCTATTATTCCTTATTTTTTTCCTATAATTCTTTCTGTATATCCTATGTTAAAAGCACTACTCAATGTTTGTCAGAGAGGTAAACGGAATTAATTTTTAATAAGAACATAAAATAAATATTCAGTGCTTCATTATTGGATTTGGGATTTGTTAACGATTGGGACAGATTTTTTTTTTTTATATTTTCATGAGTGCAATCCATGTGTGAAAATATAAAAAAAAAAAACGTGTCTCAGGAGGAAAATTAATTAAATATCTAGCTATTAAAAATTGAATATTCCGTAAATTAAATTTTCTTTTTGCCTCAGTTTTTTTTTACGCAATACCGTGGACTCCTGTGGCATTATAGTTAAGCGGTGGGGAGGGGTCATTCTATGCAACTGTGAGATTGAAGATTGCAAGCATTGAAATAAACAAAAACTTGGAGAAACTTTTGCAATTTTAGTCTGTGTTAGGATGATTTATACATATATTTACTCTCGTTAACAAAACAGGGGATATTTTTTATTTTTAAAACTCTTCCTGAATGGAAAAAAAATCTAGAGTTTTGCTGCTTTTTTATATTTTGCACAGTGAAAAATATCAGTTTTGATATTTTTCACTTCGAAAATATGACACTTTTTAAAATATCCCTTTTATTTAATAGATAATAAAATACAGGATTTCACTGTAAATATTGTAATAAAAGTTGAACATTCTTTGAATGCCTGGTGAAGAAGATTACGGAAATTGTCAGTGCTTGTAAATGTATTTATGTACATGGGAGGAAAATGAATAATAAGTAAAAGTAAATAATAATAAAATAAGTAATAAATAAAACATTTAAAGAAAAATGGGAAAAAAACAAACTTTCTAATGAACAAATGGAAATTTTCTTTTTTATCTTTTCACTGGTAATTATCCTTTTATCAGTTTAGTTTATGTGATCGTATAAAGCGTAAACTGCGCCAACCCACTTTATACCGTATAAATTGGGTTGCTATTAAATCCATTCCTTATATTAAGGATATACGATCCTCAGCTAGGAAGGATAACTCTTAAATTTAGTATTCAATTCAAAAAGTCTCAAAATGAAGCTTACATATGAAATTTTTTCATGCAACGATTTTCATTTTATGCATCTAATTGTGATTCAAGGTTCTCTTGAAGTTTTAGAAACAGTCTTTAAAAACGTTGATATTTTTACACTCTAAAGGTATGTTAAAAATACAGATTTAAAGAAGTCGACTTTTCCTTTAATTTAGCCTTAGATACCAATGCTAATTAGCATAATATGGAATTAGAAATGATTTATGGTGTTTTGCAATAATAGGAAACACTTTATAAACTATGCATTAAAAAATAATTGATGTACACAGAAGAAACTTAAGTACTGTACAAGTATAAAAATTTTCTTGAAATGCCTGGATACCTATAGTTTTTTTTTAATCCAAAAATGTTTTGTTGATCAATTTCCATTTAGAAAATGCATAGTTGTTGCCTTTATTCGCATTTCCTGAAAATTTAAGATTTACTAATTTTTCGTATATAATATGATTAACTTTAATGAGGAGGTTTGAACAATTATCGTGGGTAAATTCACATTATTTTGAGAATTTAGAGACATTTTTGTGAGCATTTTCATTTTTTCAATGCCTGATTTTCAGAACCTGAGGATTGGACTACCTTAAATATTATGTGTGCTTTTGGGTGGAGATATGAAAGCCTACTTTTCATCATATTGTTTGTTATTAACAGTTTCCAAGTCCACTTTCTGGCGTTTGAGAGTTTTATCGACCACCTTGTGAGAGCCATGCGGGGAGGGTTGGGGTCCACCCGGAATAAGTAGTGCACCCTAAAGCAACTTGGTCACGCAGTAACCTTCAAGGATTAAGACATAAGAATGTTCAAAATGTTTATTGCAGGAATTTGTACATTATATATTCACATCTAAGACGGGGACTGCTAGCTGCATGCCCTAGCTCAAGCTAACTCTCATCTCTGACTACTCCTAAACTACTACTGACCACTACACACTTTATTGAAGATATATATATATATATATATATATATATATATATATATATATATATATATATATATATATATATATATATATATATATATATATATATATATATATATATATATATATATATATATATTCGCATGTAAGACATATGAACATTGCACCAAAACTAAATAGTAAAACTGCACTTTATTTTTTTTTTAATGTGCTTCATTTGTATTAGAATATAAATTTACACGATTTGCTAAATATTTCAATAAATTTTATATCTCCATTATTTTTAGATAAACAAGAAACATGAATATTTTAATGAACATCAGAAGAATAAATTTGGATATGCTTATTGTTTTAATTACAGCATTGATGAGATTGTTCACATTTTCTTGTATTTATCTTTTTCATCTTGCCCTTTAAATAAACCAATTAAATTAGTAGAATATGACCAATTTATTAAAATGATCAAAACAAAACAGTAAAAAAAAAATCAAGATCTTTTTAAATACTTCTACGTCCAAGATACACATGCACCCTAGACTTCTGGATCAATGTCAACATGATACCCACCATTACAAATGTATTCTCATTGGTCTTTTCAATGGAAAAATGCAGTTAAATTACGTCATAAGATATCTCTGTTTACCCTGAGTGAAGTGTTGCCGATACGTGTAGAGAATAAATGAGGTTCGAGGTAATGTTATACAGATTGAAGTGCTGCATTTCTTTTAAACGTTTGTTTGATTGTTTGTTAAACTATTATCAATGTTCTTTAAGTTGCAATGGTTTGTTCCTGTTTTGCAAACATTGTTTTAAAAACTACAACACAGGTATTAACACAGGTGAATGATGACTTTATACACTTAGACCATATCATTACATCCTTTGTTCTCCTTGTTCTATAGAGAAAGTAAGATTTAGAAACTAAAAGTTGGAAGGCAAATTAGAAATGAATTTGTTTCATCTTGAATATAAAATCTCACTTTCTGCTGAAAATAAATGATAAACATGCATGCGTTGGCATACATTAAAAACTTATTTAGCAATTTGATTGCTAAATCCTTTCTCTTTGAAGAAAGCACTTGATATATTTAAAATAATATGTGTTGTAATATTCTAGTTTATATCATGAAAAGAATTATTTAAGTTTTGTGAACTGAAGTGAATTAAAGTGACTCGAGCTCTGTTTACTCGCCAAAAACAAGCATAATTTCTACCAATCCAAAAATGTCTATATTTTGCTTATATATGTAATCTCGCGAGTATTTTTTAACCTACAAAATTTCTTTACATTTTTTTTTTAAATATACTTTTGTCTAGCTAAGGCCAAGTTTAAAATAATGTTTGCTTGCCCTCTCCTGACTCAGGATGAGAAAATTTAGTAGTTATGTAAGTGAGAATATTATTTCAAAGAAAATTTCAAAATCAATGCTGAATTTTGAAAATATATATTAAAGGAAAGCCTGAATTTTGAAAACATTTTTTAAAGGAAAGCATTAAAAAATAATTGCTTCCTGGAGGTTAAAAAAAGGTTTTGAGTCAGGCCAATTTTAGCCAGTCGGTCGGGAGAGGGCAACCAAACATTTTTTGAAAGATGGCCTTACTATCAAATATTTCGTTCTGATTTCATCAAACTATTAATGATAACTGAAATCCAAATTCGAGTAAATTTCACAAAAACTGAAATAGATATCAAACCACGACTTCTATAGATCTATATCTACGTGTTACTAAGTGCAATTCACAAATCTATTTCCTGTAAACTCTTTCGTACAAGCAGTTTTATGGGCAATGTATCATGGAACTTTCATCCAAGTACCTGAAAAAAAAAGGTAGAGGAACCGAGTCATAAAACAGACTAGTGAAAGCCTGAATGCAACATTTGATATTGAAGTAATTTCATATAAACTCGACATTTTATGTACTAGTTTGCCAAATTATTTTCCATTATTTATTTTAGTCTTGGATATTTCTAATAATTAACCAAGATTTTCAACACTGAAAATTAACAAAAAATGTAAACATACCGAATTATAAAATACATGTACACTCGTTAGAAAATGTGGTTGATCTTCTATACAATATCTTCTACACAATATTCTTTATGTACTCTAATCTTTCATAATAATCCGTCCGAAACTGCAACCGTTGGAAATATTCATCCCTTGTTCTATTAAAAATCAATTCCTCCATACATCTCAAGGTGTATGGCTGGTAGTCGATATAGAACTTATTGGCAAAAAACTCTGGGCGTAGTGCTAGAATCGGAAGATCTTTGACCCCAAATACACAGACACTTCTTACAAATTGGCCATGACAGGAATATCGTGTATTCTTCCATATCTTAAACCGGGAGAGATAGGGCTTTGTAGATGAAAAATCTGTGTCATCTTTTTCTATATCCCCTAATGCAATTGAACATATTCTTATGATAAATCAAACACTTTGAAAAAAAAAAACAAAACAAAACAAAAACAGAACGCTTGCGCTAGCTGCCTGTGTGATTTAAACACCAATAATTCACACTATACTTGAGACATTCATTTTATTTACATTCGACAAGTTAAAAACACCACAAGTATAATAAAATGTTAGAATTTCTCCCTACCCTATATTTTTAAAAACATTTTTATTGATGTCTTTGCACTTCATTTTTGACGCCACTTTAGCGCGAGTTTCTCCGTGTTTATTTCAACGTGTGAGTATACATGTAGACGAAAATGTCATTCAAATCAATTTCATAATTTGTTAAGTAAAAAAAAACACACACACACAACAAATGTAAATGTAATTACATAATGTACATTTTTTGTAATAAAATCAAACAATGGGTTTGAATAAGATTTAATTGAAATTTATCAAAAGAAAATAAACGGAATTACTTAAACGAGGGTTAGACTGAATATTTATCCTGGCAAGAAATGTTTGGCCACTGAATTCAAAGTACAATCGAATAAATATATATCAACTTCAAAGTTAACCACTTCCCTAAAGGAATTTGTTTTTAGACGTTTTGTTTTCCATTTTATTTCCTGAACTTTATTTTTTCACAGTAAAAAATTCTAAAAGTTTACCAAGTTTCACTAACCAGTCTTATAATTAATGAAAGAAATTTTTTTCATATTAGTTCTTACCTTTAAATGTTCCACGAACACCTAGATGAGGATTATGAGTAAGGGATGCAAAAAATAATTCGTCTGGAATATCCGTTTTCTGTAAATATTCTAAAAACTCCTTTGCAACCGGATTATTTACTATATATTGCACTGTTTCTCTGTTGAGGGTCACGTGAACCGCCCCTTTAATGAGATGGATATTGTGTGGTGGCGTCCCCGCAGATGACCATCGCTTTTCAACGTCTGCGTTTCTTAAGAATTAAAGAAAAAATGAAGATATTTATGCCTTTTTATTAAAGAGGATGTATTTCCGCTGTAAAATACAAAATATACCATATAGTAACATTTTCATGGAGGAGGTGAATGATTCAAACTCATTACAAGAGATGATTATATGTTCTTCTGGGAAACATTGAAATCAAAATTAAAATATTTTGTGCTTTTAAAAAGTGTGAAAACATTTAAATTGAACAAATTAAAAAAATTATTTCAAACATTTTGTTTAGTATAACATGTTTGTCGTTGCAGAGGAGAAAAATGAACAAAATATTTCTTTGCTTTGAAGAAATCACTTTATAAATAAATTTTGAAATTATATTTAGATATACATGTACATGTTAAGGCTTATTGGTTTTACGCATGTTATTGTGAACTTGCTTTGATACCACTGAGCATCTAAAGAAACAATTTCAAAAGTTACCTTTTAAATAAACCTTCCGCTTCATTTGAGTCATTAAAGATTTTCAATATTCTCACCAATTCATAATTTGTACGGAGTGGGAATTCTTGTCCCGTCAGATTTATAAAATATTTCCAACTAAATTTTAATAATACTTTCATGCATTGTATTTCAGGTGTTAGCACGCTCATCTTCCCCCACTCAACTGAAATCCTCATAGGCGCCAGAAACACATTTGAGAAACATCTAATTATGCTTGATATTTCCTTAAAAATGTCATCGGATGCTTTTTTATCAATGTGAACACAATAAAAATTTTGCGGACGGTATATTGCTCGTAATAGAATTTCAAATTGCTGTGGACTCTTGAAAACTAGAATGTTGTAAGCTATAGGGAAACGCTTTTCCTCATCTGTTGAAGAATCTGTGATATACCCTCTGCTTTTCCTGAACTTGGTGCAGTCACTTGTGAGCTCATTAAAAGACCAAACTGCCTCGTTGACGAATTTCTCTAACCGATAAACTTTTTTAATTTCTCCAATATCGTGTTTGAATAATCGACGACAGTCTATATTTGGAACATTTCTTACCTTATGAAAATAAAAAGGCACATTTTTGTAATTTGAATGAATTTGAATATCTCCATGTTCTTTGTACAGTGGTGAAAAAGAATCAAAGAAGTGCATGATGCTATAAAGAGTTTCATCATTTCCCGTAAATCCAACATCATGATCCGCAACCTTCCAATAAATCATAACAAGAACAAAAACAAATACAAATGCAGCACAATACAAAGAACATTTTCCACCCTTCAGCAGTCGTCGTAGTTTCATTTGTTTAACTATGTCGTACAAAAAGTCAGATCTCAAAGCACGGTTGTGTAATGAAGGGTTTATCTGACACGAACAAAATTTATTTAAGATACGTAACGCCTCCTTCAGTTTCTATCAGCAGTGGTATTTCACATGACCTGACGGAAATGAGGTTCATACTTTGATAGTCTATTGTTGAATAATTCTACTTAAATTTATCATTGGTTCTTATAACTATTTTTTTTTTTTTTTCAAAAATTCAAACAGATTACATACTGATTTGGATTCGCTGAGTTTTCAAATAGAGTCGTTGTTGGATTTTTTTGATGACGTAAAATGTAAAGACTACGAACAGCGATCAATCTTATAAATACGGTAAACAAAACGAATCGTAAAAGGGGCAAAAACATGGACCCCTGGACACACCAGAGATGGGATCAGGTGCCTAGTAGCTAGTAAGTCGACCAGTCACACTTGCAGTTATATTCTGATCAGGTAAACGGAGTACTCTGTAGTCAAATTTAGTATATATACCAAATTATAAGGCATTTTGTTTTCGATTATCAAATTTTGATAAATTTTCAGAAAGTTTTTTTTTTAAACTATTATACTTTTTTTCAAACCTGGGGAAAATTTTTAGCTTTGTAGAAATCACTGAATATATGACAATAATTACTGATGTAACGCAGCAACAGTAGACACATTTGTATAATTATGTTATTTATCAACCCTGTCAATAATTTATGATACAACATTCCCTAATGATTTAAATCATTTCATTTACGAATAGAGGTGCTATCAGCATTGATGCAGTATTTGTTCATAAATGAATGAATAAAACATTAATTGTTGTAAAGCTATGCACAAAATGCTATACGAAATCGCTAGTAGATTTTACATTACTAATAACTACAGCCGTGACAAAAGTTGGACTTTCCAGCAGTGCTTGTTTCTGGTCAGAAGCTTTAGAGTGATTTACCCTATGACTGTTTAAAGAAAACTCTTGAATGTAAATGATATCTCTTGAATATACATCAATAGCAATTTTGTCTCATGCCCAAATACTTACGAAGGTAAGTTCATTTGCATACCACAACTGTTCAAAGAATAACTTGCAGTGTTTAGCAGACTACAAAATAAAAATTATGAAAAACAGAAAAAAAAATTCACTACAATGCAAATTTATGCCGGATTTCCTTTTATCTTTTACATCTTAAACGTCCCATTTCATTTAAATTTGCTTCATGATTTAAAAATATAGTTTAATAAGGGTCTTCAAACCGATATACATTATAATTGTGCTGTAACGAAGTCACTGGAATCTCGGATTTTGTTTTATTCTTACTGAGAGACTTTATATCCGAGCAAAACCATAGTGGAAAGTCTTGTAGGGGATTCGTAACAGTTCTCGTAAAACCGAGATTTCTTAATAAGCAGTTCTTTATAACCACCTTTTACTGTAAAATTTTTAGTCAGAAGCATGGGATAATAGACATAATAGGGATAATATTAGAATGAAGACTTCTTCCTCCGGGTGTACTGCAATTTCTGCTACCTTTTTCGAGAAATAATGTTCATTTCCAATCGTATATATTTTTACGCAGCTGTCGGCATGTAAATTTTGTGCACAATTTCTTGAGTATGTTAAATGATGAGCATGTACATGCAAAGAAGCATGCTAGTCACTAAAATTGTAGAGAATTGATTATGTAATTTGATTTGTTGATTGAGAAATTAATTTTTTAAAAAAATTGAACACTTTTTTTCTAAGGAAAGCTTTCGTCTTTCATAAAGTGACTATTTAATTTAGTTTTTCCATCGAGAGAAAAAAAAAAACGAATCACATACTTTTCTAAAAGAGATTTTGTCTTTCATAAAGAGTGCGATTCGTTATTTACATTTTTCTTATTGGTGACAAATAATTTATAAAGTACATGTATATCCTATAATGAATAACTAAATACTCAAATTCTTTTCTTTTTTTTTTTTTTTCGCAACAACCTTATACTTTATATGTTTTTACAAGTAATATATCATATCTTAAACATTTTTTTCAAAATAATTTCTGAAAAAAAAAGTTATATAATAAAATGATATTACAAAACTTTATATAAACATCTTGCAAAATTCAAACTTCGAAGTCATATCAGGCTTTTTGCTTTTGGTCTTCAATGTGATCGGGTGAAGGCCCATGATATGATATGTCACAAATAAAAGATTGAAATTAAACGATTATAGATTCAGACTTTTTAAAATTTTCTTTACTTTATGTTATCAGTTAACACGCACCTCACTTCACATACATATGTGGCTAGGATGCATTGCTATTCCTAATATGACCGAACAGAGCATATGTTTGACGGGCATGTTCAAAAACCCTTGATAACATCTGATTTTAAGTTATAGACGACACTAAAGATTTATCATATTCACCGGCAACAAGTACTGAATAGGTAAACGTGATGTCTGAACTTAATGCAGCACTGTTTGAGTCCACATTGGATTTGACCAATCCTTGGTGTAGTTTGATACCTTGTTTATGTTTTTCTCAAATGTATCCAACTGAAAAAAAATTCTTCCATTATAAATTATATATAAGAACAACAAAAAAAAAATGTGAATATATGATAAAAATAGGGATATATAAAATTGATTCCGAATGTTAACTGCAAGATAATGAAATGGAATTAGAATCCTTTTGATTTTTGTGATTTTTTTCTGCTCTGCTAGTATGTTGTGCCTTTTTTTTTTTCATTTTTGGAATTTAATTTGGCAAATTGATCCTTTAATACCTTTTGTGCTGAAGATAAATTCGGAATTACGCATGAAATTAAGTGTAAAGAAAATAATGCTCAATGAAAAAATCCTACTGAATAGAAATATAATAGTGTGCTTTTTTTCTTCGAATTTTTAAGAATTTGGACGACGTTTTGCCAATAAAGGCTTTAGAATGAGAAGGAAGCCATCTAGATGATTTATTAATGTTAGTTTTTGATAGCCTTATAATGCTGCAAAATAGAAGATTGCAAAGTGGAAATTTTACTTTTTTCCTTAGTTTCAATACGACACTCAATATCAACACCAATCAATTTGACAAATCGGAAAATGTCGTGAAACATCTCCTTCATCATATGTTATACTAGATGAAATCGATTTTTTTTTCTGACAGCCTACAGGCTTATGGCAGGAGGTAATACTTTTACCAGATCTTGAATTTAGCTTTGGATCAGAAGTAAATGTACGTCATCACCCCCCCCCCCCTTTGTAAAAACTTGAAAAATAACAATTTCATTAATCGACGTTTATTGTGAAACCTGTTTTACTATGTTATGGATATTGTACTTCAGGTGTTTTCTTTTTTTTTTTTCATTTCCGTCAAGGATAAAAACAGCGAATCGAATATGCACATTTTTTGATGAAGTGAATTTCTTTTAAACATTAGCTTATATTTGCATTCTCTCTGTTTCCTCCCACTATGAACCTGCACTCTGCAATTGCGTTCATAGGACTATAGACGCAATATCTTCTGCTATCAGTGCAATTCGTTTCTCACACTCGCACACTACAAGCAGCTACACTTATATAAAGTGTTCAGAAGTGTATATATATATGAAATGTTGTGCAAAAGGAATACATCTAAGTTTAGGTTTTAATAAAAATAATTTAAGAAATTAAAAATGACTGGAATTGCTGATTTATATATCTCTAGAAAAAATTAATTTTGGTCAATATATTTAATTGTAAAATAATTTTTTTTACAAATTGAAAGAACTGCTATATCTTTAATTTTTCTGTACGTATTTATGCATATTTTTTAAAAGAACGATAATTTTTTACGCTAGGGTGTTTTACTTTCAGAGGAAACGAAATTTCTGTAATAGTATATCTATATCAAGAACGATTTCAGCTCTTGAAATGAATTTGAATAACTTAAAAACATAGCAAAAGCATTCTTAAGTTAAAATCAATATAAAAAAAAAAACTCTTTTTTCATCATAGTGAGAATTGGGTTTTTTCTCGGAGACTTTAAACGATGACGTCACAGCTTCATAAAAACAAAAAAAAATTCGAGAATTTGAAGCTTAAGTCGACGTGGTTTGTATCAAGATATCTGTGGTTGAGAAGCAAATATCACGATAAATATTATTAATTTTGTAATTTATTGGAGATAACGGCGGATTAGTCAGGTCTACTGATTTTATAGTCATATTTTTTTTTCTTCACTGGAGACAAGCAGCTGAGCTGTGCCCTTATGTAAGCCAGGATTTCCTCTGATATTCTTGAAAACTTCACAGAATGCAAATATAAGTAATAAACAACGATTATTCAGTGAACATGGCATTATGAATAGAAATAGCTCTGCTGGCATATTTTCCATGATGCGCGCCAGCAGAGCAATTGCTATTCACAACGCCATGTTCACTGAATAACGTTGTTTATTTCTTAATTAACGCCCTATGAATAGGCCGGATATTTGAAACAAAAGACTGTATTCAGAAAAAAAATGAAATGTATTGATCAAAACAGAATACTTTAACTGCTTTAATTGTGTTTGAACAATACCTTATTCATTAATTTTCTTTTTTCATCTAAGTAAATTATTACTAAGTACAGACTGTACTTTGGGTTCCTTGCCAATTTGTTCTCAGTGAATACACAGATTTTACCGATAAATTTATTTGGAAAACATACTAATAGTCTTCCTATATATAAATATATTCACAACTTATAGTGTTATCAATGATTTACCATTATTTCAATGACCATTTATATAAAGGTGAATTCAAAAAAATGACCAAACGCATGTTTATTAACACACTCTAAAAATACGGGCAATGAAAATAGATTTCTGTCTCAGCATATGTCTTTAGATAGTGTCTAAATACCTGCCAAATATCTCATTGATATCTCAATTAACAAAAATGTTATGCGCAAAGAGAGTAACTGACAACTGATTCTGAATTATATTGCTAATTTTAATTAATTCAATGTTAATTGAATTTTTTTTCCTTTCATATTCTCCAGCATTGAGATTTTTGATCAGTGATCACCATTATAAATAATCTACTAAGATTCAACTATATAATATACACTTATATCCAGGTAAGTATGAAAAGATGAAGTCAATGGACAGCCCGTAAAGGGAGGTAAACCTTCCTCTTTATGACATTCCAATTTTTTTCTATAAAAGAGAAAAAAAGGTGAATCATTATAATTCCTCATTACTGGTCTTTAAAATCAAAATTGATTGCAAAGGGCTCTTATTTCATTTTTGAATATTACCATCTTGAGTTTTGGTAGTCTGATTTATGCAGGTACTCCATTATTTTGTATCAATGTATCTATCCTTTGAAAATAATAGTTGATATTCAAAGTCAGAGTCTTGACCACCATATACATGTTTATTCATTCACTGTAATCTTTCCATTTTCGCTTCCGTTATTGTAAATAAACATACAGAGGAAAGATTTTGAATTAAGTGAACTTTAAAAAAAATACTTTTATTTTGTATGTTTCAAATGATTTCATGTACATCTTCTCTAAACAAA